AAGGAAATTTTATAATTTTAATCCTCGAAATTGTGATACTGTGAATTATTACGAAACGGAACTCTTAAATTTTAATTTTAACCAACGGGAACGGAYGCAAAGTTYATTTTACGAACCGGAACGCCGTTCCGGTGCGTTCCGGTCCATTTCGAGCACTGGTTTTACCTATAAATTGTTTATGACTTAAGTCATATATTTATTAATACTGTACATCGTACTGTCTAATTTACCTTCCGTACAATAATCGTTGAGTATTCATCTTTTCCAATCGAATTCGTTTTGARTGTTTTTTCAATATTTTTTAAAGCTCTATCTGAAAGCCTCTCTATTGTTGTTGGTGGTATGTCCGTATCTGGTCGAGGATCGCATATACTAAGAAATTTAATTGATTTTGGAATAGACATCGATAGTGTTTTTTCACTGAAGTTCATTCTATAGCACAAAGTTATGTTTCTGGTCACATCATTTAATTTGGCTGGTATAATTGAATATCGAATTGTTTTTTTCAACTCATAAACTGACGGAAATTTAAATTTAATATTATTTTTAATTAAAAAAAAATATGTTTTAATCAACGAATCGTACGAACACTTTAAAAGACTTACACCCAAGCAAGTACATTGAAATGTGTGTGTTGTCGATAATCAATACTAAAGGTCGATTCACACATAACAGTGACGTGACGTGACGTGACATCAGTGAGCTTCAGTGAAAAAAAAATATTAATAGACCGTGATAGACCGTGCGTGTTCACACGCGTCCGACGCAGTGAATCTCCGACGTTCACAGTGCTCGTCAGGCATCCGTGATAAAAAAAAAAATACGTCGTCGCCGATATTTTTTGTTTTCACGGACGTCAAAATACAAATTTTGACTAGTGTATTTTACTGTAAGTTTTGGTTTTATGTTTTTATGTAAAATATTTATATCATGAACGACGAACTTCTAATTGAGTTGGTACGGAACAGACAGGTTCTTTATGATTTAAAGGACCCAAAGTATTTGAATTCCAATTTGAAGGGAGGAATATGGCAGGAAATTGGCGAGGAAATGAAGAATGATGGTGAGTATTTGTTATTTGTTATTATTATTATTAGTAGTAGTAGTATTCAACGTTCATATTAACTATTAGTTTAATACATGTGTATCAGTATATTATGTGAAATAATTTAAGTTGGAAATTATCACATTTTTTCAACAAAACTAGAAATTGCCCCAGTATAAAATAAAATAAAATAAATAAAAGTAGCAATCGACCGTCGTCGGGTCATTCCGCGTATACGCGCATATTTTTGAACACAAATAGATAAAATATTATAATTAATTAAATATAGAATATGCCCGGTCGTCGCCGTCGCGCGTCGGTGCGATAAGCATGCGACGACGACAGAACAGCGTCCAACAGCTATATATAGAAAAAAAAAAAGAATGGTTTAATGTATATTTATTTATTTTACATACTTATTATTATTTATAATCGTAATAATAATTAAATGGTTAGGTATGGTAATCAATGCATTGTTACGTTTTAATAGTTGATTAAAATGTGATTTTGCGATGGAACTGATCCAGCTTCTGAAGAAAAATAATCTTTGAATGCATCTCTTATTTGAAAAGCTTCTCTGGTAGCATTTCCAACTCGATGGGACAGGTTTCTTATTGCTGAGTTTACTTGATTGTTATCGTTACCAATTGCATCTCCTCTGATGACAGGTGCAGCTTCATATTTTCGTATGAAATTATACAAGACGCAGCTGGCCAATATTATGTTGTCTACATTATCTGGTAATGATTGTATCTGCCTGTTGTACAATCTGAATTTTTGACATAGGATTCCGAAACTCTTCTTGCACAACTGAGACGATAATAATTCTTTTTGAATCGTCGAGTTCCTGACCGGGGTAAGGGCGCATAATGTATGTCTTTAATGGAAATGCCTCATCGCCAACAATTACATGAGGAAGTTCAGTGTTTATGCCCGGAAGTGATGAAGGTCCAGGTACCGATAAATTACCCGATTCAAATGCTTTACCAATGTTAGAATTTGACCAAAAACCTCCATCACTGTTTCGACCATAGGCACCTAAATCTACTGCAATGAAGTTATAATTTGCATCAAACATGGCTAGCAACACAACTGAAAAAAATTTCTTGTAATTGAAGAATTGAGAACCACTGTTTGGTGGAGCCTGTATGCAGCAATGTTTTCCATCAACAGCTACTATACAATTTGGGAAATTCCAAATATCTCTAAACTCATGTGCGTATCTTTTCCAATCTTCTTCTAATGGTTCAGGCATCACTTCATTTATCAAAGCTTTAATAATTGCACTACATGTTTCGGTCACTATTGACTGTACAGTGGAGTGACCAATCCGGTAGCTGAATGATATTGTTTTAAATGAATCGCCTGTCGCCAGATATCTGAAATAAAAATATATTTGTAAAACAGTTACATACTAATAATTATATAATTTTTAATATTTAATAATAATATTTAAATTTAAATAAGGTGAAACTAGCTCTGCTGATTATAATTATAATAATTTATATTTTTGTCTGCACAGTTGGTAATTGCAAAGCAAGGTGGAATAACATACGAGACAACTTCAGAAAGTCTTTGAGTAAAAGAAGAACCACAAGTGGACAAGCTGTTAAAAAAGTGAAACCGTACAGATTTGAAAGCCAGCTACAGTTTTTACTTGAATACATGGAAGAACGCGAAACAAAGGGGAACATTGGAAGGCATCCTGACACTGAATATGCAGAACTTAATAATGATGATGAAGGACAAGAATCTCTGCAAACAACTGATATTCCTAATTCTCCAGAAGTATCCAAGCAACCAGTCAGCCAGTCACTCACCCAACATAATCCTACTTCTAGCAACGATACACTTTCTCCAGAAATATCCAATCAACCAGTCAGCCAGTCATTCACCCAACATAATCTTTCTTCTAGAAACGATACACCTTCTTTCTCTGCTGTGAAATTTGCTAAGCCTAGTAGGAAAAAAAATATTCAACCTGAGACAGCAGCATCTACACTCATGAAGTACATACTTGAAAAAAGGAAGAAGAGACAAAATCAAGCGAAAGTAGACTACCCACTATAACTTTGGATAACCCTATCGACTGTTTCCTCTTTGGGATATCACATACTTTAAAATCACTACCTCCATACTTGCAGAATATAGCAAAGACTGAGATTTTTTCTACAGTGCAAAAGTTGGAGTTGCAAACGATGCAAAATTACTATCCTYGACATTCAAATCAGTTGGAAACCATTGACGAAACTTCCTCTTCCCAAGATACAGCAAAAGAATATTGGCAAAATTTCATATCTAATTAATTATAAATTATATCTAAATGTATGTTAATTTAAAATGTATGACGCATGACGCACACACGCACATCCACACATCGCGCTAACACATCCCCACTGTTGCTTCGGTCACGTGATCGATGCTTTTGTGCGGAATATAACCGGCGGCGATCACAACTGGTCGCCACCGAGTCATCATCTCATTTTGAACAGACTATATATAATGTTGCAAATTCTCCTTCGGTGTCTCGAAACTTCCAAATAGGATGAACCCAGTGTCTTCTTTTTTCCTTCTTTTCGTCCTCGTCCAAAAGCAATGCTATTATACTAAGCTCTTCTATACTAAAATCCATGGTGCACTTAAAAAGTGAATTGATTAAATAAATTAACACTAAA